TGGGGATGCTTCTGGCGAGTTGTAGGGATTAGGGTGTTTAGAGGGTGCTTAGGGCTTTTGGTGGCTTGAAGGGCGTTTCGGGAGTTTGGGAGTTCTAGGGAGCATGGGGATTTAGTATTTATTTATATAGGGAGGCGACGGCTAAGGAACCCCAAACCCTAAACTGGGTTTAGGGGCTAGGGGTTAGGTTACTTTTGAGGAACAGAACTCGGCCAATTCGAGAGTTGAGGGCTTAAGGAGTTCAGGTTTCTGGGCAAAGGGCTTCAGAGTTCAAGATGATGTAGTGAAGGGTTCAGGGCCTCAGCACTTACAGGTGAAGGGCGGCTTCAGGGTTTCGGACTTAGGGTTGGTGGACCAGCCCGGAAAACCGAAGGCGCTAAGGCACGCCCAGCAAGAAAGAGTTCAGGGCTTCGGGTTGAGGGACCTACTCCCTGCACTCCATAAGCCCTAAACTTTAAGAACAGTTCGACATACCCCAAACCCATAGCCCCTTAACCTCTAAACGGAGAATATAATGAAGGATTTTACCAGACCCCTTCATTTCTTTTAAGGGGGTATGCCCAAGGGGTATGTTGAACATTTTCCTAGATGGGCCCCAAAAAGCCCTAACCCCCAAACCCTAAACCCTAAACCTCTCTATCACATATATATTTAAACCCTATAGTCCTTCGTGGCTAAGGGTCATTTCTTCGTGGCTAAGGGTCATTTCTTCGTGGCTAAGGGCAATTTCTTCGCTAAGGGCCATTTCTTCGTCGCTCAGGGCAATTTCTTGGTCGCTAAGGGCCATTTCCTGGGTGCTAAGGGCCATTTCTTCGTGGCTAAGGGTAATTTCTTCGTGGCTAAGGGTCATTTCCTTCGTGGCTAAGGGTCATTTCCTTCGTGGCTAAGGGTCATTTCTTCGTGGCTAAGGGTCATTTCTTCGTGGCTAAGGGCAATTTCTTCGCTAAGGGCCATTTCTTCGTCGCTCAGGGCAATTTCTTGGTCGCTAAGGGCCATTTCCTGGGTGCTAAGGGCCATTTCTTCGTGGCTAAGGCTAATTTCTTCGTGGCTAAGGGTCATTTCCTTCGTGGCTAAGGGTCATTTCCTTCGTGGCTAAGGGTCATTTCTTCGTGGCTAAGGGTCATTTCTTCGTGGCTAAGGGTCATTTCTTCGTGGCTAAGGGCAATTTCTTCGCTAAGGGCCATTTCTTCGTCACTAAGGGCAATTTCTTGGTCGCTAACGGCCATTTCCTGGGTGCTAAGGACCATTTCTTCGTGGCTAAGGGTAATTTCTTCGTGGATAAGGGTATTTCCTTCGTGGCTAAGGGTCATTTCCTTCGTGGCTAAGGGTCATTTCTCGTGGCTAAGGGTCATTTATTGGCCCCCCTCCACCCCCCTCTCCCCCCCCCCTCCCCCCCTCCCCCCCCCCTCTTCGAGGTGTCTGGCTGCCCTGTGCGGCCGATGAAATGGTTCGTGGGTAGGATAGTCCATGACAGAGTGAGGTTGGAGGACAGGGCTTGCTGATGAAAAATATAACTTTTTTATTTCTTAATGTTTTGGGATTCTCTGGGTGGGTGGGTTTTTTTCGACAGCCCAAACAGCGGCTCTACTGGAGATTGCTCGACCCGGAGCTGCTGAACCCTAAACCCTAAACCCTAAACCCTTTCTTGAGATAAGCCCTAACAAACCCCGTCGCGTTCGAGGGTTTGTTTCTGGCGTTGGGGCACCCGAGGCATGGACCTGCAAGGACGTGGAGTGGGAGTTCACACTCTTCAACTGGATCTCTGCCACTTGGGGGCGTATTGAACTGGGGGATCCTAAACCCTGAACCCTAAACCCTAAACCCTAAACCCTAAACAAACCCTAAACCCTGAAGTGTTTTCGGGTTTTCGTGGGGGGGGGGGGGGGGGGGGGGGGGGGGGGCCGCCTCTGCTCGAAATCAGGTGTCCTTTACATGGGGATCCTACCTCCTTTCGGGGGGGGGGGTAGAAAAAGGGTACCCTCATACCCCTTAAACCTACACTCCTTCTAATCCCGCAGATGCCCTTTTGAAGCCAGCGATCCCTACCCAGAGACTCCAAAACCCCTCAATTAAGGAATATACCTTAAATCATATTAGGGTTCCTACTATAATTTAAGGTATGTTGCTTAATTAAGGGGTTTTGGAGTCTCTTGGTAGACTAAACCCTAAACCCTAAACCCTTTTTGAAGCCAGTGATCCCTAGACTTAGGCCAATTGCGCATGCCATTCTGTCTCGGGCAAGTCAACCTTCTCCGACCACGCCTCTTGGCATCTTGCAAGCCCACGAGCCCCAAATACCACGAAACCCTAAACCCTAAACCCTACACCCTAAACCCTATACCCTATACCCTATACCCTATACCTAGACCCTAAACCCAAAATCTTGTAAGACTCGAGCCATGCTCTTTGTTGCCAGCAGGCCTATGCTGCACCGTATGGTACATGCTTAGAAACCTAAACCCCAACGCCCACAACCAAAACACCCTCACTCCTGAACCCAAAAACCCTCAATTCAATCACAACCCCCCCCCTTTCCAGGACCCTAAACAATGCCTTAAACCACAACACCCTAAACCCGAAACCCCCTAAACCGCAAGACCCTAAACCCTAAACCTGTAGTTTTGGGGCCGACCCTCAGGGAGATTCTGAACCTCGAAGCCCAAAACCCCGCTGCACCCACACTACATCACTGGAGTCGAAGGATCTCAGAGTTTAGGGCTTAGGGTTCAGGGAGTGAACCAGCTCCGAAGACGAAGGACCGCTAAACGAGCAGCCGAGTTGGGGTTTAGGGTTTAGGGTTTAGGGTTTAGGGTTTAGGGTTTAGGGTTTAGACACATGGCTGCCGCCCGGACAGGAAAGGGTGGGCATGCTGGACACACTCTTCGTGATTGACACGGAGGACCTCTCTCCTTGGCGCCCCCTTTTTTTCGAGGGCTTCGGGTTTAGGGTTAAAACCCTAAACCCTACACCCCAAACCATGAACCCTGAACCCTAAACCCTAGACCCTAAACCCTAAACCCTCTCTCTCCCTCGTCGTGTCTGCCTCTTCGTATGCGCCCCTAAGGCCTAAACCCGAAACTCTCACATCCCTGTTCTGCGGTACTAAGCCTCCTGAAGTTCGAAAGGCAGATTCCGGCGGAGGCCCTAAAAAGCCTAAAGCCCCTTGGACCCTCGAAATCCTCAAACCTAAATCCTGAAGCCCTAAATCTGAATAACCCCTAAACCCCAGACCCCAAACCCTAAGCCCCAAACCCTGAACCCTAAACCCTACACCCTAAACCCCAAACCAACTCCCGAAGCCCCCCAAAGCCCTCCAAACCCTAAACCCTAAACCCCCCCAAACCCCAAACCCCAAACCCGAAACCCACTCCCAAAGCGCAACAGCCCGAACAGACAAGGACTCCTCACGAGGCCGGGGCTGGCTCAACGAGAAGGACCACGGATTTAGGGTTTAGGATTTAGGATTTCGGGTTTAGGGTTGTGTGGTTTAGGGTTTAGGGGCCTGGGAGCCCACCCCCAATAGTGTGGACTTGACTCCTGATTGATAACAAGGCTCCTTGTTATCACCCTCAAACCCCAAACCCTAAACCCTAAACCCTAAACCCTAAACCCTAAACCCTGCCTTGGGGGTTGGGATTCTGGGGAGAGCCTGGCCAGGATCAGATTCGCATTCGGGCCGCCATGAAGCTACCCCTGCCGGAGGCTCCTTTAAAGAAAGGAAAAAATGTTGGGGGAGGAGAGTCCCCTAAGCTCTGCTGTCTAAACCTTATGGGTTTTTGGTATGTCGGATTTTTGGAATCAAACCCGGTTCGGGATGGCGATCAGCTAGGCTTCTGCTCAACTCGACAATCCTTGAACCGCGGTTCTCGCAGATCCTACAGCCTCGAAAAGCCCTTGTAAAATTCATGGTTTCGGGTTTACGGTTCACCCTAAACCTAAGACCCCCCCCCCCCCCCACAGAAGCCCCGAGACCCCCCTCCAAACTCCCCCCCCGAACCCCTCCCCCCCTCTCCCCTCCTCCCCCCTCCCCCCTCCCCAACCGCAAGCCGAAAAAATTGAAGTGGCGAACCTGACGCGCTAAACCCTGCACCCCCCCCCCCCCCCCTCCCACCTAAAAGGACCCAAGTGAGAGCGCCCTGAAGCAGGCTTTTGGCTGGCTGTTGGGACTTTCACCTTTTGGGTTTTCGTAGAAACTACAACAAGGAGCCTAAAAGTTAAACTAGGTAGGCCCTTGGGGCATTTTATATTTTCCCTTATTGGGTTTAAGAGAATAATATTTAGGAATATTTGTTCGGAGGGTCCTCAGGGCCATCCAGTAAACTTTTAGGAGCGGCTCAGAAGTCAGCCAAGCCCTTGAAGCGGGTTTTTGGCTGCAGGCGGGCGCAAGCAAGTCTCTGGAGTGTTTCGACTTCTCCCAGGAGATGAAGCAGGCGGGCAACCTTCAGGGTTTAGGGTGTGAGGATATCATACATGTACATCCATATACACATATATATATATATACATATATTCATATATTCATATATTCATATATTCATGTATTCATGTATTCATGTATTCATGTATTCATGTATTCATGTATTCATGTATTCATGTATTCATATATTCATAACATGTCTACATACAATTAAAAATAGAAATATAAGTATAAATATAAATACAAGAAATGTACATATAAATATAAACATATATATTTATATTATAATTATATGCATCTATATTAGAAACGTACTGTTTAGGGCGTTTGGGGTTTCTGGGTTTGGGGGTACCTCAGGGCGTCATGGCACTTGCAAGGTTTCATGGCACTTGCAAGGTTGTTTTGGGAGGTTTTACATGACTGCACGTGACAAGCAGCTGGGCATTGGGGCTATAGTTGAAGGCTACCGGCTGATCAAAGCAGGTGCCGTTCTTGGGAATATGGATAGTCTGGCTTGCTCAAGCAGGCAGATCCCAGCTGCAGACAGCCCTCTTGCATCAGACTTCATCAGGCGAGTGGTGCCATGTCCTTTGCCAAGCGCATGTCGCGGCAGTCCACCACATCACGGGCGAATCAGCTTGACTGCGACCGGCAAAAAGTGCAGAAGTGGGTTCTAGAGACGGCGGGAGAACTCGAGCGAGAGTGTGAACAGGCAAGTCGCAATGCCAGCTTCTCCGCAAGTATCAAGGTGGAATACATGACAGTCTTGAACTCCCTGCAGCAACTCCCACGGGACTGGGAGACGTTGTCTCAAGCTCTGCAGCGGGGCTTGAAAGCGCATGGCTTCAGCAAACTGACTATCAAAAGCGTAACGTGGAACAAACTCTCCGTTCGTGCAGAATGGGACGAGACTTCTTCAGAAGACAGTGAAGACGGTCCATGTTCTGGCGGAGCTGACTGCCACCGGGCCGGGCGCGTGGATACCTGCGGCATTTGCGATGAAGATCGCTCCTTGGTAGCACTGGCCCCCTGCGGGCATGTGCTATGCCACTCAGGCTGGAAACTGTACAATTTTTGTCGCTGTTTGTAATCGGAAAACGCCGCATTGTCAGACGGTTGGATTGAGTTGTTTGTTTCTTGGCCAGTGGTGTAGACAGATGCTGCAAACATGCATTAATGACAATGAGCCTGCCTATCATGTGCCATAGGTTCGTGGTAAGCAGAAGTTCGGTTTTGTGATTCTGGACTTGGGGGCAGAATTCGGATATCCCACAGCATCTTCTACATGCCAGGATTGATTGAAACATCTTAGAAGCTGCGCCACCCAAAGAGAGCCCGTGATCTTCAGAATTATGCTTATGTGAGCTCAGGCAAGGAATGCGGACAGCAACTGCGCCATCGCCAGTGTCCGTTTTGCCGGCAGCCTGTGCAATGCGCAACACGCGGACTCTTCATGGATTGAGACAGCAGCATGGGCCTAAAGTGAGAGAGATTGGTGCCGAGATTTAGGCGCAGGTCAGTTTTTTTTACTGGGAGCAGCTACTTAAGGTTTCTTTGGTGCCGTATCCAGCAGCATCTGGGGTAAGAGGCAACAGGCTCCAAAATTCTGATCGACCTGCGATTTAGTAGGTCCTTTGCCGCCGTTTTCGTAACGATTGCAGTACTGCAGCATTGCTGAAATGCGATGTGCAGTATTGGCAAGAAAGCTGGTCAGATGACGAGGAAAGGCTATCCCTCTGCGTTCACAAGTTCTCGACTTTCGACTATTGTATTGTTACTATCATTCAAAGACATTATTACATGACTAGTATAGCAGTATCCGGTAACAATTGGAGCCATCGACATGAGGAGGACTTCTCCAGCTGAATTGGGTTCTTTCCCATTTGCAGCCAGCCTGAGGTTTGAGGCAGTGTTTAGGGTTTAGGGTTTAGGGTTTAGGGTTTAGGGTTTAGGGTTTAGGGTTTAGGGTGAAAGCTTGGGGGTTTTTGATGTTGGAGAAGTGAGATCTTATAAGCCTGGTTGCAGAAGAACAGCCAGGCCTGAGGTATGAGGTGTAGATCTGCCTTAGGGGCAGATGTGCGGTTCTCTGTGAGAAAAGGCCTTTGTGAAGGATGCTTGGGCCTGAAATTTCGGATGTACCCTGCGAGAGTATACTCAGTTCAGGGATTTGCTGATAGTGATAGCCCAGGTTTTCAGTTTGTAGCATATGATGCCACAGAAGCCTAGAGATCAGCAAGCGCGTTCCCACTACAGTCCTGATCCAGTTCTGATAGGAAATGCTCGAAAACAAGTATTAAAACCAAGCTGCAATAACAGGGTCACATAAGGATTGTTTTGGGTAGTTGCAAGGTCATCGTCGATAGAGGGGGAAGGAGCCGAAATCAAGTAATCAAGGCTTTTTAAGGGATTGCAAGCTTATACCAGTAGTACGGAAACCGGCATTTAGTGGGTATGTTGTGGGTGTCCTCTAAAGGGAGGGGAAGTCAGGGGTATGACCATTAGTTCCGGAGGCTGGTAAGATCTAGGATTCTCGGTTGTACGATGGCAAAGTTCTAGGAGCAAATCCATGTGGACTAAATGTGCAACCCTGAACCTTAACCTAAATGTGCAGCCCTGAACCTTAGCCAGGTTGGCAGTAATTCGGGATTCAGGGTTCTAAATTCTGAGGGTTTGGGGGGTCTGTAGCATCGAGCTGAGGGAAAAGTCATCGGAAACTTTGCGATATTGATATACATCTTTTTTGGGAAACAATTGCCCATGCAACCTGCAACTGGTTGAAACTAGAGCTGCGGTAAGTCGGATGAACTCCACCCGACAAGCTCGGTGCCCTGGCCTTGCAGGGACCCCATCAATCGAAACGATGTCCAAGGATTTTGTTATCTTAGTTGTAGAGTAGGTAACCTTTAACCTTTTCGGAGGAATATAACCCACTTATAATCCCAAAGGTTAACCTTTAGTTCCCCTAGGTACTGGACAACTAGGTTATACAACAGCCGTTCAATCTATTGCTTGCTTCTAATGAGTGTAGAACTGTCCTTAGAGTCTTGGAAGCTGCATCCGACTCGCACTTCGTTGGCTCAGAGCTTGACAGCTGCATCCGCGTGCCCAAAGTGATCGTAAGCGATCGTCTCCCAGACCTTCTCTCCTGAAGATGTTTCGCCTTGCTCTTGCCGGAGGTTTGCTGGGGGTAGTCGCACTGCTCATGGGCTGCGGGGAGGATGCCCCCGCTTGTGCCACCTACAGCAAGGGCGGCGCTGGAAATGTCACGGACTACGCCTCCTGCTCCACCGCCTGCGACCTTGGAGAAGGCATCCAAGAAACCTACGGCTCTCATGACTGGTCTGGCAGCTCTGGGGCCGGAGAATGCTCCTGCAAAGTCAGCGACAGCGAGCACCGAACGGCTTGTAAGGACTAAGGACCCCGGATACTCCAGTTGAAGGCAAGGAAGGGATTTGAAGGGCCTTGTGTTCAAGGATCGGATGCCCACGTCTCAAGCTCCCGGCGTGGTTCCCATGTTGTCAAGTGAGCTCTTTCCTTTGTGAGTATATGTGACTGACGGGCGGCAGAGACCATCCGCCCTTGTTTTGAATTCGAAATGTGACCAACCGTTCCTGGGTCGCTCGAGCCGCGCTGAAGTGCGCGGGAACGCGTCCCACGACGGCATCAGCTCACGGCGGAAGGATGTCCTCCACCTTGCTAGCTCTCTGAACCCTTAACTTGGGATGCTCCCCCTCGTACTAACAGTAGGATTATGATAGAGCGTACGAGGATCCCGCTAGTATAAGGGGAACATCCCAACCCTAAACCCTCAACATCCCTAACCCCCCAAACCCTTAACCCTTAACCCTTAACCCTAAACCCTGGCTGCTGGCCTCGCGAATGTATGCAGGCGTGCGCCCCGTGAGCCCAGACAATACCCCTTAAGGCCCTTGATAGGGACGGAACAGACCCTAAACCCTAAACCCTACACGCACTTGAAGGCGCTTAGGGGGAAACCTAAACCCCTCCCAAAACTCAATCCCTAAACCCTCAACCCCCCAATTCACCCTCCACACGAAACCCTAAAACCCTAAGTTTGACGTTGCGAGCCTGCCGTCTGCCCCAGGTGACCTTCCGCCTGGCCGAGGGGGCTTGCTTGCGCCTTGGATGTTTTAGGTACTAGGCTTTCATGGTTTGAAATGATGCTTAACTGCTTCTTCAACAATTGTTGAATGTAATTGGGATGTTCCCCGTTATACTAACAGTCCTTAATAGGAAGTAGAACAGGGGTAATATAATCCCTATTCAGGACTGTTAGCATAAGGGGAACATCCCTAGTTACATAGCAAGTGCGCAACCAAGTCCTGAACGCGCGCGAGCGAATGTCCTGTGCAAGCGGTTGAGAGTTCGCGTAGGGTGACATAGGGCACAGGGGTTGCCATAGTGGCCACCGCGGTAGCCGGGCGAGTTAGGGTGCCGTGAGGAACCCTGGAGCCCGGGTCCTAAACCCAGCACTAAGCCCAGTGAGCCCTTCCCTCTTCCCACACTTTCTGAGGACTAGGAACCTACCTGCGATCTCAGCTAACCCTAAACCCTACGCGCTACGCCCTAAACCCAAAACCCTCCGGGACCCCTTAGCTCAGAAGTATGCCGTTAAAGCATGAAGATCCCCTGTTGCAGCTTAGGAACCTCAACCCTAAACCTTATATAGATATACATCTATATGTATATATGTATACGTACATATACATATACACATATGTACATATGCAATATGTATATATATATATACATACACATGAGATATGTTGGCGTCTATTTCTGAATCCTGTACAACTCTCTAACCAGCGCGTAAAAAATAAATCAATACATACATATACATATATATATATATATGTACTTTAAGGCTGACCCTGTACATCCCTAAGCCCGCGGCACATAATTATCACCCTTCATCCCGAGATGTGCGGGGGTTTCCGAAAATGCGGGGGGGTACCCCCAATCATCGTAAGTCCCCCATGTGGGGAGGTTCTTCGACCGGCGCCTTTTGGTGAGCCGGTCGGAGTACTTCCGGGAGATGCTCGAACTTGGGTGGAAGGAGACGGGTTTTGGGGTTTTACCCCCTGGTTCTTAGTAGGGAATGACGGAGTGAGGGCCCTATATATATATATATACCCTTTCAGGGATGATATAGGAGTACCCTCATCCCCTGCATTCCCTACTAGGAACCAGCCAGCTTCGGGGTTGGAAGGTTCGGGTAGAGGGTCTTGAGGGTTTAGGGTTTAAGGTTTAGGGCTCAGGGTTGTGCATGGGTCGGCTGAACGCCCTATAGTATGCAGCCCAAGAATACCCCTTTATTCCGGATCCTCATACCTCGTTGCAGATTCGCTGCAATTTTGGGGCTCTCTGAGGTGCATGCGGAGCAGGTCATAGGGATTCAAAGGGCTCCTGAGCATGGACTCCACCTAGCAGGTCACATTGCAGCCGAAGTCCAAAGCTGCAAACCCTAAACCCTAAACCCTGAACCTAAACCCTAAACCCTAAACCCTAAACCCTAGTTAGGCTCAAGGAGCTACTCATGAAGAACCACTCGGACCTAGAGTAGGCCCCTGCTCCCCCCTTTTTTTAGGGCTCAGGTTTCCTTATAAGCCTCTTCCAACCCAAAAAAGCACTCTTGTTAGTCCCACGAAAAGCAACTGAAGCGCAGCCCAGCTAAGTTGTAGGGCTTACAGGGTTTTAGGTACCTTCTCTCCATCCCCCCCCCCTTTTCCGCCCCACAAGAGAAATTGAGTTAAAGAGAAACCTGAACCCTGAAACCTAAACCCTATAAGGCCCAAAACCTGAGCCTTGGACCCTGAGCCTTAAAGCACTAACAGCAATTCCACGAATGAAGGTCTCCCGAACCCCCGAACCCCAATGCCGAAGTTCCACAGGAGGGACAAACCAACGAGGTCGACCTCAGTGGCGACCCTGAGGCCACCCCTGTAGGGTTGAGGCTCCCAAAACCCGAAACCCTAAACCCTAAACCCTAAACCCCAAGCCCTAAACCCTAAACCCCAAACCCCAAACCCCAAACCCCAAACCCCAAACCCTAAACCCTAAACCCTAAACCCCAAGCCCTTCAACTTCGAAGTCCTAAGCCCTCCAGGCATCATGCAACCCTCAAGCCCCCGACGCCCCGAAAGCCCTTTAAACCGTGGGGACCGGGGGGATCCGAAGTCCTGAATTTGGGGTTACCAAGGGGGTTTTAGAGTTTAGGGTGTGAGGGTTTAGGGTTTAGGGGTGTTTAGGGTTAGGGCTTAGGGTTTGGGGCTTTAAAAAGCGCACCCCTAACATAGACCCCAAAGAGCAGGCTTCCCTTAGAGTAAGGACCCCAAAAAGGTACCCCTAATTTCGGAAACCCCATTTAGGGCCCATACTGCGGATCCCTTTAAGTCCCTTTAAGACACCCATGGTTCCAACCGATAAGGGTTTAGGGTTTAG